CTGGAATGAGCTGCCCCCAGAGATCAGGGTGATCCCTGATCTCCCTTCCTTCCACCGCGCCCTTAAGACATGGCTATTCCAACAAGCGGGACTGGCCTAGGGCAATTTTTAGAGGGGTTTTAATCATATTTTAATTAGACTATATTTAAATATTTCTTCTTAATTAATTTTAATTCTGTAATTGTTATTTGTGTATTTTTAATCGATTGTCAGCCGCCCTGAGTCTGCAAGGAGAAGGGCGGGATATAAATTCAATAAATAATAATAATAATAATAATGACTCGTGGACTTCAACTCCCAGAATTCCTGAGCCAGCACAGCTGGCTCAGGAATTCTGGGAGTTGAAGTCCACGAGTCATAAAAGAGCCAAGGTTGACTACCCGTCCTAGGATATCGAAGGATCTTGCGGGTGGTTTGGCCAACCTCATGCTTAGTCACTGAGAATCCTGCAGAACTGGCAATTGCCAGATGACAGAAGGGTGTGTGTGTGTGTAGGGGGGGGGGGCTGGAGAATCTGCAAAAAAGAAAGTCTATAACTTGGAAAGATTCTGGAGCAGATCATAAAGAGGTCAATCTGGAGCAATACAGCCCCTGCCAGATGATAGCATGGATTTGTCAAGGACAAATCTTGCCACATCAACCTTTCATCATGTGGAGCGATCTCCTCAGTCGATCATGTAAATGCGGTTGACATCAGATACCTTAATATCAGCAAAGGATTTGGGAAAATTATCCTGTGTCGTGCTGATTAAAGGGTGGGCTGCTAAGAGGGCAGAAAAATCCAACCGATGCAGCCCTCCCTTATTTCTTTATCCTGGTTTCTGGCTTAAAAAAAGGCAGGTCCCACGTGCCACAAGGACCAATCCTGGGTGGTTGAAGGAGGCAGGAACGTGAGGGAGGGAAGGGGGCCCTTTCAGAAGGGACCCCAAGGTCCAGGGGGAGAAAGAGGTGTGAGAAAGAGACTCAGAATAACTCCACCTTAGTTGCACCAAGTATATGTTGGTCTGGAGACTGTTTTGGTAGACTTCCATAATTCTATCACATCACCCTCCTAGCCATCCAGATTCTTCCAGAAAACTAAGTGCTTCTAGTTTTCTGAATCTGCCAACCTAGTTGGGTACCGAAATATCTGCAAGAAAACAACCAAGCCCAGCCGGCAGCGAGGACTCCACTTGTTTTTCCCCCCGTTCAATTCTAAGTCCAATTCTCAAAGACCGCGGCAATATTTCCACTCCATTCCAGGCATCCCATAAGCCTATAACCTTCACCTTCAAGGCCATCTTACGGCCACTCCACTCCTTGGCTTCCAACGCCATCGGTTGCAAACTCATCCTTCAGGCGGGCTCGGGTCTTTTCCTTGTAATTGCGTTTGCAGGGGGGGAAAAAAAAAGTGGGAATATTGGCAAAATCCCAGGGCGGTTTATTTATTAATTCAACGCACATGAACAGTTGCAAGCAGGAAAAAGTGCCAGGGGGGTCTTCCTATGAAGTTGACAAACTCCCAAGCGGGGCCATGGCACAAGGAGCCGTCCGGCCTTTTCAGGACTCCGAGCCTCATAGATCAGTGTTTTTCAACCTTGGAAACTTTAAGATGGGTGGACTTCAACTCCCAGAATTCCCCAGCCAGCAAAGCTGGCTGGGGAATTCTGGGAGTTGAAGTCCACCCATCTTAAAGTTTCCAAGGTTGAAATACACTGTCCATAGATCAGTGGTTCTCAACCTGTGGGTCGGGACCCCATTTGGGGTCGATCGACCATTTCACGGGGGGCGCCAAGCAAGGCTGTCCGCCATTTTTTTTGTCCATTTTTTTTGTCCGCCATTTTTTCCCCCTTTTCCGGCGGGTGCCTTACCTCCCTTGGGCTGGGCCAGCTGGTGGTCGGCCTGCTCCGTCTCTGCGGCTTGCCAGCTACGCCTCGGCCGGCGCAGGGGGCAGAACCACGCATGCGCGGCGCTCCCGGGCAGGGAAAGTCCTCGACTTACGACCGGTTGGGTAGTCCTCGACTTACGACCGGTTTAGTCCTCGACTTACGACCGGTTGGGGTCACGGCATTAAAAAGGTTGAGAACCACTGCCATAGATAATACCGGGGCGCGGGGATCACGGTTCGGGCTGCCTGTCTCGGTTCCGGAGGGGCAGCTGCGGGGTCGGGGGCAGCGGAACCCCCCCCCCACCGCTCCCCGGAGGGACGAGCCCCCCACTGCCCGTTCCTCCCAGGCGTCGTGACGTCAGCATCCCCGGCCTCATTTGCATAACCCCCCTGGCGCCCAATCCCGCGGCGCGCCCCGCTTGGCCTACGCGAGCCCAGCCACTCAGCGAGCGCGGGGCCGGGCCACCACGTGCTGTTGCTAAGCTTCGGCTTCGGAGTTGTTGCTATAGCGGCCGGCCTATGAGCGTCCACGCCGTCCACGCCGTCCGCCTCCGAGGGCGGGCCCAGCGTCGCCGTCCGGGCCGGCGATTGGCCACGCGGCGGCTCCGCCTCCGGCGACTGGCGGGCGCGGCTGCCCGTCGAGCGAGCGAGCGAGCGCCCTGCCTGCCAACCGGGGCGGGAGGGGAGCCCGAGCAGGCGGCGGCCGAGGCGGCGATGGAGTGGAACTCGCTGCTGATGCTGCTGGAGGCCGCCGAGTACCTGGAGCGGCGCGAGCGGGGTGCGCGGAGGGCGGGGGGCTCCGGGGCGGGAGGGCAGGCGGGCGAGGGCGGCGGGTCGGGCCTGCCTTGACGCGGCGCTTTCTTCCCGCAGAGGCCGAGCACGGCTACGCCTCCGCGCTGCCCTTCGAGCGGGCCTGCGCCCGGGGGAGGACCGCCGCCAGGAAGGCCCCCAGCAGCCGGTGAGTGGACGGGGGAGGCCGCCGCCATCTTCCCTCCCCCCCCTCCCCGCGGGGCTCCCTCCTTCTCGGCGCCGCCGNGCGGCCCCCCCGCTGCTCGCCCGAGGAGGAGCCGCTTCCGTGGCCGAGCCCTGCGGGGAGGGGAGATCCGTCCCTGAAAGGAAGCGAGCGCGGGGCCGGCCCGGGTGTGGCCCCCGGCCGCTCCTCCTCTCGCCCTGCCTGCCTGCCTGCCTGCCTGGGCGGCCTTGCTCCGGCCGGGACGGGAACGGAGGAAGAGGCGAGCTCGTCCCGCGAAGGCCCGGCTCTCCTTCCTCCTCCTCCTCCTCCCCCGCCCCCCACCAGCAGCCCGGCCGGGGGGGGGGAGGGAGGGGACCGGCCGAAATAGCCGCTCCCCCCCCCGCCTGGCCGCCCCCGGGGGGCGCTTGGCCCTGGAGCCCAGGCCCCGCTTTCTCCCCCCCTCCTCCCGGCAAGGGGACGGAGGGAGGCAGGGGGGTGGCCTTGGGTGACAGGGGGCCCTGCGAGGCTCGGACAGGCGGCCGTCTGGGGGCAGAGCCTGGGGAGGGAGGGTGGGGGACCCGAGCCCAGGGGAGCCAAGGGTGCCTGTTGCCGGCCAAGGCAGCCCCAGGCGGGCCCAAAGGAGCCCTAGTTCCAGGGGCCGGAGGAGGCCCTGCCGAGGCCTGGGGAGAGGGGAAGTGGGGCCAGCCCCACCGGCCGGAGGGAACCACTCCCAGATCCCGTCCGAAGAAGCTGGCGGCCCTCTCACGGTGCCCGGCCAGCTCCGTGGGAGCAGAGGGCACTTGGGACCCTGCTGGCCTAGAACCCTGGTCCGATCCAGCTGGTCCACGGCTGGCCCGGCCCGGTCCTGTGTTCCCTGCTGACTGCACCCAGTTGAACGTAGGAGTGCCCTAAAGTGGGTCTCGTGACCCCCGACTCGGTTCTCAGTCCTGTTTTGCTGTCTCTGTTCTGAAAATAGCGACATGGCCTGTTAAAACCAGACATCTCGTGGGGTGTGAAGCCAGATTTTTATCTCCAGCTGCTGTGTGAGTTCTGTAGAGCAGTGTTTCTCAACCTTGACAATTTTAAGGCATGTGGACTTCAACTCCCAGAATTCCACAGCCAGCATTGCTGGCTGTGGAATTCTGGGAGTTGAAGTCCACATGCCTTAAAATTGTCAAGGTTGAGAAACACTGCTGTAGAGAATAGTTGCAGGTCCCCCCCAGTGGTGGGATTCAAATAGGTCAACAACCGGTTCTCTCTGTGGATGCCGCTTCTGGAAGTCTATTCTGGGCCTGCTGGGCAACAAAAAATGAGCCACTGGTTCTGCCAAAGGGGTGCGAACCGGACTGAATCCCACCACTGGTCCCTCCCCAGGGAGATGCATAGCGGGCAGTATTGGGCATCCCAAATTGAGTCCACTACTAGCATTGCATATCTGGTACCATCTCATCCTAAGAAATGGTTGCCAGATAAGAAGGTGAGCATTTTTTCCCCTCTCTGGCCATGTGACTGAGCCACCAGCCTTTCATGCACAGTGGCTTTTTTGCCTTCAGCTCAGTCTGTTATTTGGTGCTGGCCTATGAAGTCACGGCTATTCCCTGCCGGAGTGCACTGGGCCAGGGTTGAACATGTGCGGTATTTTTGCCGTGATACTGTTGGCCCGGTGGTAATTGCACTCTTATTCATGGGAATACTTTTTCTCACGTAGGTTCCCAAAGGCAAGGATGAGGTAATGTCAGTTTATTCTGAAGGGCCCGTGAGATGGCTTCCTTCCTCAGGATACCGTGATAGTGTCCTATAAGGTTTGCTGTTTGCTGAACTTGCTTCTACATTTAGCTTAAGTTCTTTAGTCAGGAGGAGGAAAAACATATCTATTAAGGTAATTGTTTTCTGCCATGGTCCAAGTTCATTTAATCTTCAGTTAGTCCTGTGACTGAGTTTTCTATTACATCCCAACAATCAAATTTCAGTTTGAGATATTACAGAAATTTAATCTGATTCAGAGTTGATCTTAAAACTGTGTTAAACCTGAGAAAAACAAAGAAATTGTGTTCTTTGTGTACTGAGTGAAGTGCCTAAATTCTTTAAAAATAGTTCCTATTAGGAACTTTTAAAACAAATGTTTCTATTCGAGTTAATAGACAATATTCTAAAGTACTCCGAGTTAATACATAATATTCTAAAGTATCACATTTTCTGTTTTTAATAGGTCCTCACATAATGAATTAGAAAAACATAGGTAAGTAATAACAGAATTGATAGAGGCATTAATATACACAGATGGCAATTCAGATGTGGTGTTGATTGATAATTACTCATTTGCATATTGATAGAATAAAACGAATCTTTTTTAATGGTAATCAGTGAGTTAAATTTATGCAAATTTTACTCATTTGCATATTTATACATACCATTTATAGGTGGGTAATTTTATACGTACATATTTCATCAGGAGTTTGCAGCAAATTTGGAAGCTTTTAGGAATTTGTTTTAAAACAACTCTGTGATTTATATTTCAGTTCCAAATAAAATTACATTTAATAAATTCTGATTTCATTTTAAGGAATTGTAACTGCTTATGGACACATGATTTTTCTGGAAATAAGATTAAATGAATTTATGCAATTTTAAAAGAAGCCCACCATTAAGCTAGAAGAGAAAAACGAAAGCAACTTCCCATCCCTAGAAAGTTGAAGGATTATTGGGTGGTCTGCCGAGATTAACAGTGTAGTACAGTGGTGGCGAACCTAGGGCACGGGTGCCAGAGGCGGCACTCAGAGCCCTCTCTGTGGGCACGCGCGCCGTCGCCCCAGTCCTAGGCCTTCAGCTGGGTTTTATAAAACCTTTTCGCTTTAGGCCTCCGCCGCTGTGTGCAAAAAAAAAAAAAAGGTTCAGTCAATCAGTCAATTTCAACTTCTCGCGGGAAAAAAAAGATCTTGCAAAGTTGGAATTGATTGATTGAACTTTTTAGTCCCACCCAGTCTGCCGTTACCACCGCAGCCACGCCCACCCAATGGGCCACGCCCACCCAATGGGCCACGCCCACCCGGCACCTGACGATGCATGAGTGGGTTTTGGGTTGCAGTTTGGGCACTCGGTCTCTAAAAGGTTCGCCATCACTGGTGTAGTACAACCCCTTGAAAGAATGGAAAGCAGAGGTGGACATAAGAAACGCTCTCTGCGAATGAATATAGCATTTATTTGGGGGGCCTTTTTTTTCGTGGCTGCTTTGCAGAGTGCTTTCTGCTGCCTGGGCACCTGAATGTGTAGAGACAGCCTGGAACAGATTTACAAAGCAGCAGCCTTGTAAATCTGGGGAAAGATCTGCCTTTTCTGCCCAAATGCCTCCCTTGAAGAACCTGCAGGCCCTAATTAGCAAAAAGGGGGGTTTCCACATGGGTGCCCTTTTTATCTCGCTTATTCATGTGTTACTTACCATCTTTTGTTGATCGCATTGTATAAATATAGTTTTCACATAGATAAAAGATCAATAAAAAGCTGAAATTTTGGCTAGCTGCTGCTAAAGACTTGGAGAATTTATTATAAAAGGAAAACTTATTTTGGCAAAAATAATGAGCTGAATAAGATGCTATAGATTCAGCTCTCAGGCCATGCCACAAAAAGATGTTAGTTTTAATGAATATACGCTAAACTATATTAAAATGGAGGAGTGCAGATTTACCACCAGCTTATCAAGTAACTTAGGAGACTAGCGCCAATGACCTAATAGCTAGCCATCAACACCCCAATCAACATCTAAAGAGCCACACACACAACAGGCACCCTATAAATGCCACACACAGAGTAGCCCAAAGCCCCCACACTGCCAGGGAGAACTTCCCCCTGAGGATGGGGGCTTTGGCACCAGTCCAAAAGCTCGGAAGACAAAACATCTCGTGGCAGTGAATGACCCAGATTGGATCCTCTATTAAAGTTTATTATTATTTTTTTGTTTTGTCATTTTCCTTGTTTTGGAACATTTGTAGTGCTTGTTAGCTGCCCAGCGTCATTTGGCAAGCGGGTGGCCATGTGTATTAAATAAATAAACAAATAAATAAGATATTGCAGAATGTCAGTTTTCAGAGGCTGAGAACATGGATTAAACTCTGTTTTCCAAACACCCCTTGCTTGGCTCCGTTTTCAAGTATTGACTGATTTTTGCCCACGCAGAAATTTTAAAAGGCCTCTTTTTCTTCTTAGAAGAAGCTGGAGGGAAAAGGTTGAAGTAATCCTTGATCCTTTCCTTTAGGCAGATTAGCAGTTACAAATTTCATCACTTACTCTTAATTAGAAGGCATAATTAGCTAATGAAGTTATTGAGTAATATGTATATTACAAATCTGAAAGAACTGTTCTAATTTCCGGTCCCACGTTTAAATTTTGTCTTTGGGATTCACCTGGTGAAGAAGCCGACCCCACAGCGTGTATCTGCTTAGCGTAAATCTCCGTGTTATACGTATTTAAAAGAAATGCTGGTAAGGGGAGAGGAGAAGGCCCGTTTCCTCTCCCTCCAGCTCACTCCCATTTCTTTGAATTGGGGCTGCATCCCTGGGAATTGCATTCCGCCCTGGTGCTCTGGTGCTCATACCAGGTGTGAATGTAACATGGGCTTGCAACTTTCCAGGGATGCAGGGTAGCTCCAGAGGACAGCGTCCCCCCTCCCAGTCCTGGGAAAACAGATAGCTGCTATCCAGGAGCCTCGTTCAGACAGATGGGAGTACCCTGTTTGGAATCAGATCTGAAGCCCAGCCCTGCACGGCTTCAGGCCCTGGAGACCTGGACTGGGAAGGAAAGTGGGAAAGGGAGAAATAGCCGAGGGAAGATCCGGGAAGCAGCCATCCCTTCCGTGGATACACACTTCAGAGTCATTGGGTCCCACCCTCGCTTCATACACAGGGACGGACTCTCTTAATGACCACTGGGCCTAGATGGGCACCTGCTGTTTTCTGCATCACTGGAAACTAACCAGACTAGTCTCTGGCCTTATTCCCAAGGACTTTTATCACATGAGAATTGTTACATCAGTTCACCCCAAGGCTCCAGGATGTACTGGTGAATGTAAAAAACCAGGTTTCAGGATCCTATTACTGACTGTTTTTAAATCAGACAAATATATTTGCACTGGAGAAAAAACATACTTCAGTTAGGTGCTTCATTTCGCTTTAACATTAACTGAGTTGAAAGGGCAGGCAGACTTACATGGAAGGAATGGCTTTTTCTGGTTTTCCCAATAACTTGGTCTCGGGCTTTTAAAAGCTCTGATGAGCACATTTGAATGTAGCCAGGAAGGCACCCCTGTTCCCAAGCAGAGCCAGTGGAAGATTTGAGGAGCCCAAGTAATACTTTTTAGGAGACTGCTGGGAAGATGGGGACCATATCTCAGCTTTTCTGTTTCCAGCCAATAGGTTTTTTTTTATTTTTTACCAATAAACTCTTTGTTTGCTGCATGCTCCATCTTTTGTTGCAAGTGAGAAAATAAACATGCTGATGGATTCCTGCATTATTTTGTGTTGTTCTAAATGGCAAATTGTTTCTCCTCCCTCCAAACGGAACTCTTTGGGCTTTGGTGAATGAAAAGAGCACTGTGCCCAAAAAAAATCATAGCTCAGTGAAAATACTGATTCAGTCAGTGAGGAAAGAAAATTCCCATTAGGAAAAGCCTGAACACTAAATGAATTAATACAACGTTTATGATAGAATAGTGCCCACATTTCAGTTCACTGTGGCACACCTCAGCTGTCCTCTGTGGATCCCGGAAAGCTGTGGAACAGCTGAGCCAAAACTATCCAAAGACCAGATTTTGACTGGAGATGGAGGGAAGCAAGTAAGAGATCTAATAGGATGCCTAGTTTGGAGGAAAGGTTGGAGATCCCGTTATTTTTATTTTCTGTGCCTCAAAGAGAATATTGCTAAAAGTTAGAAAAACAGAAATAAAAGGAGGAACTTTGTGTAT